CCATTTGAACTTAAAAGCGGGAAAAGTTCAAGGAAACCGAAGCTTTTGTAAGCCCTAAAGCATTTTCCGAAAGCTTTTTTCCACTTCTTCGAATTTCCAATGCTGCTGACGAATTTTCGAAGTTTTCAACAGGCAACGTCGACGCCGGCAGAGGCAGAGCCAGCAGCAGCAGCAGCAGAGACGTCAACGTCGGCAGCGACAACGAAATTCGCTCGGCTCGTCGGCATTTGTTGCTCAGCAGGAGCTAAAGGCGAACACGTGCTCACCGCTCGGCATCAGCGGCAGATTGCACCACCACCCACCACCTACCAGGCACCACCCACTACCACCGCCTCGAAATTCGCGCTTCAACATCTCCGCTTTTTCTGCAAATTTTCCTCCCTTTTCGGGGGCAATTGAAACGACAAAGACAAAAGGAGCGCAATTGAAATAAACGAAGAGTGCAGCATAATGGGTTAACAAAGTCGGTCTACAGAAACTGTAACTGTAAAATGATTTCTACTGGAAATAAATATTCATTTGCACAAGAATGCTTTCAGAGAAGAACAGATATATATTTCACGTCGTTTATACGTACAAAAAGTACTGATTTTATTGCATTGTCCTGTTATATATACTGTTATACTTGTTATACACTCTACGAATGTAAATAGCTTAACATGTATTTATAAAATTAGCCATAAAACTTGACTTTGAAAATATTTTGTAAGGATACTTATTTGCTCATTGCAAGCAGCAATATATATTAAATAAGTAAATACGAGTTGCTTGCCCATACTTTAATGTACTAAACGAACGAGATAAGAGAACATGTACTTTAAAATTCATTAACTTGAACCAGCTTAGCTCTTCCGCTTCAGTTAAACTCTGAAAACATTTTTCCCCAGCTGATTTTGTTGTTGTGGCGTTTCGCAATGAAAATGCGAAGGGAAAAGCCACCGCAGGCCTCGAATTTGCCTCAGTTTTTCGTTTTTCGTTTTCCGTTTGATTCCTTGCTGGGAGATAAGCACCGCCACTCGATGGTGTTCAATGCCTCCTGTTCGTTTTGGCCGCTTTCCACGGCTTTTCCTCATAAATATGCAAAGGAAATGCAAACCGTAGCAAACGAACCACTGAAAAGCGCCCCCGCCCACCGCAAACAACTGAAGATGAAGTAAGGCGATGCCGACAGAAATTTCAGTGGCTACTGCCACGCCCATTACCGTTTTCAGCGATGGGCGGCAATTAAGCAATTATCTGAGGTTCGGGAATCAAAATAATCCCCACCAAGTTATGCATCCCTTTTATTTCTTAAAACGTTGCTTTTAGTGCCTTCATTTGTATTTATAAATGTATTTATAAAGCAAACAAAGATTTTTTTACATTCCTACCATATTCATTAAATATTAAACGCTTAATATGAAAAGCTTATGAATTCTATTCTAACTCATGCTCTCTGGTGGTTTTGAAATCCTTTAAACACCTATTTTAGTATTCCCACTTTGTATCTCTGTGAATCTTGAATCCATCAATCTAACTTTAATCCTTTACAATGGACAGCTTAAACAGTTTTTGTTTTGCCGAAAGTTTTCCAATTTTGAGAGGATTTTAAAGCCCGATTTCAGAGTCCCTTTGCTGTGCAGGAACCTTACGCTCCAATCAGCCCGACTGAAGCTAGGCGAATTCCTTGAAGGAAGCCTGGGAAATATGCTAATAAAATTTCAATTTCAGGTCCTCCAAGGGAGTGAAGCATATTATTGTTTTCTTCTTTTATTATTATTTTTTGTTTGTTTATTTTTGGCAGCGTTTTGATGTTGAGCTCGGGGTTTTATTGCCAACTGGGCCATAAAGAAGCCAGCTCCGAATGCACTTTTGGACGTGTGTCTGCTGGGGTCATAAAAACCGCTGCACAGGGGAAAACTGAGTTCCACGGTTGCACTTATTGACTGTTTATCGTAGTTATGAAGGATTAAAAAAATAAAATGGCCCTTAAAAAATACACATTTACAAACTATGATTTATTCATTCATAAAAGGATTAAGTGATTCTGGGGAATAGCGCTGGTGAAATAAACTAATACCCAAGCGCACCATATTAAATTGTAAAAAGGAATTTTATTCAATTGATTTAAATGAGATCTGTGGCCTGAAAGTTAGTCACTCATAAAAATTGATTTAAGCTGTTTCTTCTGCATACTTAATCTCATATCGTTTTTGTATAATAGTATACAGAAAACATATATCAAGAGTAATAGTACTACAACTTATTTTAGACTTTTAAAGTTAAAGTTAGTTAGTACATTTCGGAAAGTTTTTTGGTGCAGCCAGTGAACTGTCAGTTGGTTTCTTTAAGTGAGCACCACTTTAGTTTCCTACTTTGCTTTCCTAACTGTGTCCACCTGCCGCCTTTCATTTGCAAATGATTTGGCCTGCATTTATTACTCATACGCAACGTGACCCGAGGTCAGAGCCCATTAATGGCAATCAAAGAGCTGTGAATTCATTTGTTTAAGTGAGTCCCGATTTTGTTTGCTTACCATTCCTTCTACACCTTTCGCCGCGCCCCTTTCCCTTTTCCCTTCCGCTTTCAAATGATTTTGCATGCATCCATCACTCATACGCAACGTGACCCGAGGTCAGCACATCATTAACAACAACCCATATGCTTAGCTACACCCCAAAATCGGTGGGGGGTATGTGTTAAGCTGGGGCCTAACTAAATGTCGTCAGTTTGAGCCGACAGTTCTTGTCATTTAATTTGTCATTTGCCGGGCAGATCCACGGCTCGTTCGAAATTAAGCGACGTCTGTTGGCCGTGCTCTGCATTTCGCCTTTTGACGGGTTCTGTCTGTTGCCTGTAGGATATCTCGGCTCAGAGCCACCGTTGACCCATTTCATGGCACCTCATCTCACCTACAGCGCTCAGTCAGCCCGAAAGCACTTCAAAGGCCATCATCTTGACATTTTGATTTATTGGCTTCGCTGCTGTTGTTTGCCAACTTGGGCTGCGGCTTTCACTTTGGCTTTAACTTTGTCTCGTTGGCCAGCTGGCTTCTTGGCTTGTTGCTTTCGCTTCCTTGCGGCTTGTTGCTCTGCTGATGTCTGGCACTAAGCCGATTACAACTATTGGCCCGCCTGGAAAACGCTCGCTGCCAAACCGCCAAGCCGCCAAACACCTTGGCCAGGCTCCCAATCGCCCAAGCCCATAATAATTACCCCCGTTGGGAAATTTGTCGGAGTGTCAGTCCGTAGCTTAAGAAAGAAGAACTAGTAATTTCCAAGAAATCCAAGATACCAAGTCATTTATGAGATATATTATAATGTTATGTATAAAGGATAAGCAAAAATTGGTTACAAGTAATAAGCGCTATCCTAAGTTCCATATACAATTTTTTAGTAAAGAGTTCATTCTTACATAATTACAAATTACATTACACATTACATTGGCATTCATTGAAATCAATTGAATTGTCGTACATTCAAGTTAATTATCTTGTTTATTTGATTACCGAGGGTGCAGAACGCGGTGTTCTAACAACCAGCGTTAGTTTCTTTCAGTGCACCAAGAGATGCTGCCAACTTTCTGACATTGGCCTTTGACGGCAAATGGCTCCATTCCGCCCACTCTTCTGGCCATTGTACTTGGCCAACTAATGCAGCGCACAGCTGGCAACAAGGTGAATGGTCAAAATCCGGATTCGGGAATTAGACCAGGTCCAGCACGGATTTCAATTGCGATTTCGATTTTGATTTGGAGTCGCTGGACCCGGAACACACGGATTCTGATTCGGACTGCAGATTCCGGATCCAGTTAACGAGCTCGTTACGGCTCATTGGCCTTTGGGTCGTGCTCTCGTATGCATTTGGCCAATGTAAATTGAATTCGGTCTCAGGCGCCGCCTTCCAAACAGAAACAGAAATGCAAATTAAGCGCAAAGTGCTCACAAATGTGCCCTGGCCAGTGGGCGGTGGGCGGTGGGCGGTGGGCGGTAGAAGTGGGCGTAAGGTGTGGCAACAATAATCGAGTGGCACTCGGAATGGCACATAATAACATATAATTATTTGAGCAAATGCAATCAATTTGAATCGACAGAATTGAAGCGCTAATTGCGATAACTACTAAGTAAGCCGGAGAGCGCACCCGAAAGAAAATATTAAGGAACTTCACACTCTCAGCAAATAAATGCATATTTAAAGCGTATTTTAAATTGATTATTTGGAGGAGAGTTACGATTCTGCAACGCCAAGAAATAAGCAGTACAAATTGATTAATTTAAAGTACCATCCATCCAAAGAATAAGATACATATTTTCTAATCAACCTTTGCAGCTTCGAAGTAAAGGAAAACACACCTGATACAATGCCAAATGGAGTGTCTTGTGGAAAACTTGAGTGGGGAAAGCCATGACTGCGACTAGGAAAACTTTCTGGCTGCCATGGGCCAAGTTTGCCCCATTAAACTTTGTACTTGTTGAGGATATCGCAAAGTATTCCCTCTCCGAGGAGGCAAAATCCAGCCAAGACAACTTTTTCCCTCCTGAGCCGTGTGCATTCATTGTCCGGCGATACAGGACCTTAAAAAAGGACATCCATGTCTACTGCAGGATATAAGAAATGAAATAAAAACAAAGGTGCCTTTCCTTGCGCAGGCGTGGAATTTAAGAGCGACCAACTCTCTCGCTAAGCAAACCTATGATTTCCCGCACATTTATATGGAATATATAAATTTGAAGATATATGCGGGTTACCATTTCGATTTTATTCAGCAAACATTAAGATTTCCCAGCCATTATTTATGCGATTTTATTTTAGATTTCCTAGCCGAAATCAAACGAATCTCAAGTCTTTCCGCTTTATTTACGATGTGCGTAAGGCTATAGCTATAGGATATAGTCGCAAACTGAGAGCGACGTTGAAGAGAGAGGAGAATGAAGAGAGAGAGCCAACCGGATGCGTGGGAAAGTTGCCGGCGAAAGCGTGGAAAACAAACCGCTACAAAGGAAAGTGTCGCCGCACAACTCGCTCAGTCGAGCACTAGACGCCAACGCGTTCGGAAGCAGCTCTCTCTCTCTCTCTCTCACTCTCTGTCTCACACACACTCTCTGTCTCTCTCTCTCTCTCTGTCTCCGTCTCCGTCTCTGTCGCTGCGCGTCTCTCTCGCTCTTTCGCATCCTCCATCGCCGTCGCACCTGCTCACACCCGCATTCAGCGAACTCAACGGACTCCAGAGGAAAAGTGTGAAAAGTTGTGCGGCCAGGGGCTCCGCTCTTATGTATACAAGTATGTAGAATGCGGGGAAAACAGGGAAATGCATTGGAATTCGGTGTTTTCAGTGCTTTACGAGTTTGCCAGCTTAATCAGTCCTCAATCCAGCAGCAGTGGGCAGTCGTTTAATTTTAGACGCATCACTAAGATGCGATCTATAAATATGGCATCTTATTTTCAAACTGCACTCGCCGGCTATAAATCAAAATAAATTGAAATCGAAATTTGGGAGACGTCTTTCGATGAAAACGCTTTCGACTGGCACTCGAAGAAAACTTTTGAAATTTGAATTGCAAAATTCGAAGAAAATAACAAGCAATAATCCTTCTGTCTTAAACGTTGTAATTTGCAATTGCCAACTGCAGACTAAGAGTTTTCCACTTACTTAGGCACTCGGATCCGGTAAAATGTTGCTGGCGGTTAACCAGAGTCTACAGAACACCAGCAAGAAGAAGCGCAAGCGGCGGACGGCCGAGGATGATCCGCAGGAGGATTCCGGCGAGGGAACGCCACCAGTTCGGCCCCTGGAGCCCAGTGCGTCCAGTGACCAGCTGGTCGGAGGTACATGCCGGGTGTGTAAGTGCCCGGGCCGACAGTCCTTGACCCTGGTATACATCTACCTGGGCGCCCTCACCCTCATCCTGGCCAGCCTCTCGATCGTCTTCTACACGCACACCCAGGACACCGAGTCCTTGCCGCAGCTGGAAGACAACTTCCGGGTGCAATTCCATGCGGAGCTAATGCGATCGGAGGAGGAATTAAGGAGGCTAGTCAACAGGATAGTCGAGGAGGAGCAGCACTTGGTGGGCAGGTGGGCGGATCACTAACTTTTCAAGCTCTTCAAGTTTTTGCACATTATTATGTACTCCGCAATCAGCACCACCACGAGTAGCACCACCCAGTCGAGGGATCCTCTGAAAAATGAACGCAAGTTCACGGACAACCTGATTAGCCACACACCACGTCCCACCGGGAAACGAATGCGCCGGGACATCGCCTCCTCCGCTCCGGCGTCCATGCATGGCAAGTTCAGGTTCAGGTATTCTGGCCAGCATGCACATAACTATTCTCCCATCTTCCTTCTCCCCTCTCCAGCTGATCCGCTGATCGAGTTCTTCAATCCGAACCATCGCAAGGTGCTGGAGGAGCAAGACACCGAGATCCGTAAGCGCACGGGCCAGAAGGGCGCCGCTCCCGGCGGAGATGAGTGGATCTATCTGAACACATATTGCCGGGTTCCGGAGAAGATAATTACGGGCTTCTGCAAGGGCACCCAGGACTATTGTCCGCCGGCACCACAGGGACCAACCGGAGAAGTGGGTCCAAAGGGACCACCTGGAAACCCGGGTCTACCGGGCATTCCGGGTCCCAAGGGAAATCGCGGTGATGTGGGCTTACCGGGTGCTCCCGGAGTGGATGGCGTGGGTCATTTGGGTCCCGCCGGACCTCGCGGTCCCAAGGGAGATGCCGGGGTGACCGGACGAGCCGGCTTGGATGGCCGGGATGGAGTGCCCGGGGAGCCGGGACTCGATGGCGTGCCTGGTCGCGCTGGTGCTGATGGAAAGAATGGCCTGCCTGGACGCGATGGCAAGGACGGGCTCCACGGCAAGGATGGCAAAGATGGTCTGTCCATCACGGGACCCAAGGGTGCGCAGGGACCACCTGGCGAACGAGGACTCAAGGGTGAGTTATCCTCTGATAACCCAATAATTCCTAGACCTTAACCCACTTCTGGACAGGCATTGCGGGTCCACGTGGTCGTCCTGGCAAGCCGGGCACCAATGGCATACCCGGAGTGCCTGGCATCAATGCCTGGAAGCTGCAATATCCCAACGGCAGCTCCTCCAACGATCTGCTAATACCGCCCTCCATAACAGGTAAGCTAACTTAAGGCCCGAATACCTTACTCTACAACGAGCCTCTCTTCCTTCAAGATATTCAACTGCCGGACTTCCAGCGCACGGTGATCGTGGAGGAGGGAAGATCCCTGAACTTGAGCTGCACCGCCACGGGAACGCCCACACCGCAGGTGGAATGGCGACGTGAGGATGGTCGCACCATCAACGTCAATGGCGTTGAAAGTAAGTATGCGGCCGCCCACTCCCAAATGCTATTAATAATCCCCTCCATCCAGTGGCCTCCATCAGCGGACAGTTCCTGAGGTTCACCAATATCACCCGACACCAGATGGCGGCCTACACCTGCTTTGCCAACAATGGCATCGCGCCCGTGGCCAATGCCACTTACCTCGTGGAAGTGCAGTGTAAGTAGTAGCAGTGTGGCAAGGAGAGTTTGAGGATTGGCTGTGAACACAGAGGCTTCCCAATTCCAGTTGCGCCCATGATATCGGTGTACCGCCAAATGATCTACGCGGAGTACCAGAGCAGCGCCACACTCGAGTGCTTGGTGGAGGCCTTCCCCGAAGCCATTAGGTATTGGGAACGGGCCTACGACGGCAAGATACTGGATCCCAGCGACAAGTACGGCATTGAATCGTACCCAGAGGGGTGAGTTCGTGCAGCATCTCATCCCTGGTAGCCCCTACTCATCATGGAGTTTTCAGTTTCAAGACCTCCATGCGCTTGACTATCAGCAATCTGCGCAAGGATGACTTTGGCTACTATCACTGTGTGGCCCGGAACGAACTAAATGCCACAATGGTCAACTTTGAAATAGCACGTAAGTGGCAGAATGCGTGAAACGTTGGAAATCTAACCCACTTTTTTCAGCACAAGATCCGAATAGCGAGACCCCGTATGTGGGAAATAACATCAAGGTTTATGGCCAACGCCCGCCGGAGAGCGAGTGTCCCGTTTGCGATCAGTGCCCAGATCCCAGGTTGGTTGCCCTAATCACCTAGTCCCGATAAGTCCTAAGTCCACTCCATATCTGCAGCTTGTACCAGTGCAAGGACTCCATACTGAATAACTTCGAAATCCAGGCGACGGGCAATCTGAGCTATCCGGGATTACCCAAGCGACCAAAGAGTAAGTAGAGGCTTAGCCCCATAAAACGAATAATGTATTAACTCTCCCGTTAGCTTGCTATCTGTATGCGGTGGGCAAACCCGTTTTCCACAAGGTGGTCAATGAAAAGTTCGGCTCCTGGCTCAGAGATCCATCTCCTGACAGTGATCGTGAGAAGACATTCGTCACCAACGAGAACGACCCGTACAATCTGTTCGAGTTCACCACTCGCATTCAGTACCGAATGAACAGCATCCCCAGGAGAAAATACGAGATTCAAGAGGGCTTTCATGTGGGTTAAGAACTGGTTACGAAATGTTGCCCTTCCTATTTAAGTTGATTATTTTTAGGGCAATGCCCATGTGGTCTTTAACGGTTCGTTCTACTATCAACAAAGAAACTCGGATCTGGTGGTCAAGCTGGACTTGACCAGTCTCAAAAAGATAAGTGAGTGCATTGCAATGGTTGAAGTTCATATTACTACCCATTATGATTCCCCTAGCCACACAATTGCCATATGCTGGAGTGGCCGCTGCGAATAGGCTATATGCTACCGACTACAACTACATGGACTTCAACGTGGATGAAGTGGGTCTGTGGGTGATCTATAGCACCTACAACTCCAATAATACGCTGGTGGCCAAGGTAACGTTTGTAGTCCCTTCAAAAGCCTTCTACAATTAAATGAAACAAAATGCCATCTAGTTGGACACGGAGACGTTGAAGATGCAGTACAACTTCAACATCACCCTGGACCATCATCAGTTTGGTGAGATGTTCATCGTGTGTGGCAATCTGTATGCCATCGATTCGGGTACGGATAAGAACACCCAGATTCGATATGTGGTGGACTTGTACAAGGGCAAGCTGCTCAACACGAATCTGCCCTTCTCGAATCCCTTTAGCCACACCACCACCGTGGGCTACAATCCCCTGACTGTGGTAAGTAGCTGCTTGTATCTCAAAGTGGTCACTTAGTGATGCACTATATTGTGTATTCCAGGAACTCTACTCCTGGGACAAGGGCAACGCACTCACATATCCCATACGCTACAATGAGCAGCGTTTAATCTCCGACAATAGTTAGGAGTCACTAACCACAAGACGATCTTAAAGATGCGCAGAGTCGAGGCTCAAATCTAACTAGTATAAGGCACAATAAATATATGCAAACTGTTTTTTTTCCAAATGCAAATGGTTCATCTCTATCTGCATTTCCCTCGCTCAATATTTGAGATCGCTGGCATGTTTTCCCATTTGTTCACATGTCTGGATTTTCACTAATTGAAAGGCACAGCAAGGGAAAGTGTGTGAAAATAGCTGGGTGTGAACTGCTAATTTGCAAAAGGTGAAGTGAAAACAAGTGTTATATATATTTATATTTGAAGTGAAGCGTGTTCATGTGGGGAAATATTTATTTTCCGATTCAGACAAACAATCAAGTCATGTCATATAATTTAATTCGGTTTTCTCTAGGAATGAGCTTGGAATGAGTTGAATTTCTTTTGCTGTGCCTTTTTCATGTGCCTTTAATGTCGCTCCTTTGAACATACACCCATTAACCCCATTGCCCAGCCCATATACCCTGTACCATTAAATTCCGTTTCAACATCTCGGCTGCGCCCAAGTCACTTTGCAGCTCCACGCCTCTCCATTGTCAATTAGCTGCGATAATGTTGACTTAATCCGGGCCGGGTTCCATTAATTATGCCTGCTTAAAAATGCCTGGACGCAGGGCACTTTGCCAATTGCAGCAACAAGTCCACCTTGTGGATGTGCCAAACCGTTGACGGAACAGCAAGGATGCGAGATGAAGGATGGACAATGGACGATGGACGGGGCACAAAGGGCTCCAGTTAATTTCCAGGCGGGGAACCAGCTGCCGATCGGTTGGGGATTTGGTAAGGGGACCATCGGGGCGGCTATTTAGGCCACATGACGAGCTGACGCTCCGCAGATTGACGTACTGGCAGAGTGACGGCCTGTCAATAAGGGTAGCCAACTGGGCTCGGCACGAAAGCGTTTCGATGTTCGGCAGACCCCTGCACCACCCCAAAACACACACTGAGCCCGAACTGAGCCACCCTAAACGAGCCACTCTGCTGGCCACACGGCGCAAAACGGATGGAAAATGTACTTGGTCATAAAATTGTGGCCAGGCGGCATGAATATTTTGGGAAAGCATTGAACAGCTTCTGAAAACAGTGAGTAAAACAGGGTTTGGTGACCCCGAAGCTACCTTCTTCGCTGCGAAAAACTGGAAAACGGAGAACAGTGTAACTCGGTTTGGTTCGCTGGGTAGCTGCACATAGTTCAGTTCGTCTCTCGTCAATTGCGTTGCATGTTTGACAATTTGCATTTTTCGTTGCCTCAGTCGCCTAAAGCCCTCTTGCCCCATGCCCCATGCCCCATGCCCCTTGCCCCATGCCCCTTGCCTTGTCTGAACGAATTTCAGTTGCATTTCTCGATTCCCTTTGTCATCGCTGCGACCGTGCGGCAATTCGGGTATCCGGAATGCGTCACGGATTGCGGCAGGTTCTGTGTGGGAAACTGGGGGAAAATGTGGAAATTGGCAAGGCAGCGCGGTCACAGATGACACTGGCTCCTAAATAGGGATTCCTCTTTACTGAATTGCATTCCTCTGATAGCAAAGCCAACACAAGTGCGAGTATGAGTGAAGCTAAATCTGCTTTGAGCTATTGACAATGGAATGCAAACGAAGACATAGAACTTCATTCGATTCGATGAACCAAACATTAAAGCTTGTTGAAAGGTTTCGAGAAAGCAGGATATAGTTGCTCGGATTTAATTTTAGAAATTCATTGGCATCGATTCATTAAAACCCGCTTCGTTCTCCATAATCAAATCCCCATTGGACGGGTTTTAGCCCTCTACAATCACCGTCAGTTGGCACTGACCATCAATTATCAGCGTCAACCTTTGGCCTTTCGACACGAGTGTTTTGATTTATGCAGTTTTAAATATAAACATACATATATATGTTTTTCGTACTTTCTGTTTGCTCTCACTTTGGATTTTTTTTTTTGTAGTTTTGGCCAAATGCCAGCCGAATCGTTTGACTGGGCTAATCCCCAGTTTTATAGACCACCCCATTCCCGTCCAGGCGCCACCTTCTTCGACGAAAATATCCGACTCTCTATCATTTTTCATTTTTTGTTGTGCTGTTTTGTTGGGGCAGGCCCATCTGGTGCCGTTTGTAAGGATAATGCGCTCTTGTCAAATTGCCAAGAGTGGCGGCTGCAGGATACTCGTACGCCACACAGGATACTTCTCGGTGGGTGGGATATGGATGCGGATGCGGATGCGACTGTGGATAAGGATGGGGATGGGGATGAGGATGAGGAGGAGGCGGGGCTTTGGAGCAGCTGTTGGGCGCTAAGCGCCTTCCAGCTGCCTCAGTCGCTTTTATTCCGCCGGATTCCGCTCGAGTCCGTGGACAAACAATTTTCATGCTCGAACGCCGTCCCCCTCCCCCTCACCCTCATCACATCGCCACCGCCCTCCCCAGTTGATCCCCGCCCCCCTTCGGTTTAGCAACAGTTTGCTTCATTAAATTGCAAACGAGCATCAAGAATCCAGCGTCTCGTGGGGGGAATGGAACCTTTTCTCGAGACCAGTACTACTTAGTACTTGGCTGGGGATTGGACGAGGATTGGGAGCAGCAGGAGCAGGAGGAGTAGGAGGTGTGGGGGAGCAAGAGGTCACTGGGCTTACGCTCTAATCAAAATGCAAAATGTAATTTGGAATTTTAACATGAACAACGTGAGCAGGTCACTGGGCCATAAAGACCCATACAATTTCATGCCTTCGCAAGGGCTTCCCTTGCCGATAACAAAAACAAGTAGAGTTGTCCAAGTCTACAGCAGCTAACTAATGGATTAAGTAAGAAATTATAGCTTTCATTTAAACTGAGTACTTCCAGCCGAGTAAAATACTTTAAAAAATGAGTTTATCTAAAATAACAAAAATAACTAAAAACTAAAAATGGCCAAGCCAGCTTAGCAACTATAGTCTAAACTAATTAAATTTGACTGGAAAAGAGCCAGAATTGCAGCACCAAAGAGAACTTAAGGCGAGCGAGTGAAAGAGAGGTGCGGCGTGTGTGCGAAAGAGATAGTGCCGGCAATTACTAGGGGCCAACGTCGAAGGCAAAAGGGCCAATAATCATGGCCAAAGCTGCCAATCGCTGATGCGTTAAATTATTTCTCGTACAAATGCCGTAGGGTGTCCAGTGGAACTTTAATGAATGAGCCCATCAAATGGCAGAGATCACTTGAGATTTTGGGCTTCTCTTTGGCCCAAACAGCCATTAAAGCGAGAACTTTAGACTGCATTTACTAATTGTTTGAATCTTTAACTGTAGGAAAAACATTTTTAATTAGGACATTTCGTTAAGCTGCATAATCTAGCAACTTCAAGTTCCTGCCGCTGTTTATCTTATATTTTCCCCCAGTTCTGGCCTGCTCCATAAATCGAAATCACTTTTCATCTGGTGCTCCTAATGGGCTGGCCAATCAATTGATGGTCCTGACTGCTTTCAGTTATGGTAAGACCTCTTATCCAGCTCATGCTGCTTCCAATTCAATTTGGTGCCGGCAGTCGGTGCTCTCGGTGATTGGAGGTTTGTTTGCCGATGGGTGGTGGGCCCGGAATCTGAATATGAGGAGCCCAAGGAACAGGAGGAGCACGAGGAGCAGCAGGAGCTGCCCGCACGGGAATGGGGCATCCATTGTGGATTAGACAATGCCCCGATGAACCGATGGCCCTCGCCGCGTGCCAAAGACAATGGGGCGGATGCACAATGGCCGTGTGTTCGAGCCCGACGGTCTCAAAAATAAACCCCGACAAGTGTCGACCTCTGACCCCGCCGCCTTGCATCTCTCGCATTGTACTTTTAAATGCGTTAATTGAGTGCTACGAGTTGTCTTTCGGCACTTGCACACCGCCTTCTGTTTTGTTTGCCATCCATTGTGTGTTTTTTATACATTCCTCCTATTTTTTCTTCCTTTTCTACGCTTTTTGTAGAGAGGCATTCGGCACTTGTAGTCCAACGCAGCCAAACAGCAAATCAAAGTCAAATGGTCAACGACGAGGCACACAAGATGGCCAAGGGAAAGTACAACGAAAATGTTAGTCACACACACACACACACACACACACAACCAGATGGTTACCATCACACTCGCAATTGCATATGAACAATGTGGTTAATGGGGATGCTTCGTATTTGACAAATCATAAAATTCTAATTGATATTGAAATCTGAATTGAAGTTCATTTATTCAGTTACTCAGTTATTAGCACTGCAAACACAAATAAGCATATTATAGCGTGCCAGCTAATGATGCATAGATAAATGTACCGAAGGCTTAATGTGTATAGTGTGAATAAATTGAATTTGGGTTGTCTAAAATGGCAATTCGCAAATTTATTGCATTTGAAATACTTGAATTGTCAATGAATAAATACAGCATCTTTTAGGCAAATTAATTGAATTGTTCTCAATTTAATATGAATAGGCAGTATCTTCGAGGTCAACCATTATTTGTGAACATACTTTGCCATCGAAACGCTGACGGCGTTTAAGCCATAAATTATGTAAATATATTTCAGTCTTCGATAGCTTCTGGCAAGCTTAAAACTTACTTCCCCGCAAGCAAAGTCTTTAATTAAATTAATATAATTGATATAGTTTTAAAAGGAGCTACAGAAGTTTGCACCTTTTCATAACAATGAATACTTTCCCATTACAGAGTACCACTTGGTCTACCCACTTAAATTTGTAGATTTCTGTTCAGCTTGTGCGTTAAATAGATACTTTTAACTGCAAAAAGTGTAGAGATATTTCCACCGATTTGTAGATTTCGTACGCTTTAAATGCTATTCTACAGAGTAACAGTTAGTCGACACCTAGCCACCTTAGCGTAATGCCGCCCAAAGCATTTTTTTGCTCGTGCCAATTGAAATGTTAGCCAAAATGTTGCCCCAGCTTGTTGGCAGCCAGTGTTTTGAAGCGTTTCGCTTTGACACTTTGGGTTTTTTACAGGTTCGCCTATAGAACCCCACCGATTCTAGGGGATCGCAGTGTGGGGATCCACACAAGGACCTCCGCACCCACCTTACCACCGCAAACATTTCGCGCTTAGATGCACTTCACTGG